TCTAAATCAAAAAAAGCTTTATCGTATTCTATCGTAAATAAGAACCATTCCTCTACCTCATTTTTTAAAATAACAGATTAGCGGAGATCACAATGAGATATTTAACAAAGTTGTTTCCACTAATCTGACATTTAATAAAATAGGCAGAGGGGACAGTGCTTATTACGGTGAATGCGGTAACTTAAATTAACTAATATTAATTAAATAATGCTGGATATTAAAATTTTAAATTACCCATCGGTCATGACCGCGGTCGGTTCGGTCATGACTCATGACCGATGATGACCGACCGAAACCGACCGTGACCGACCGTTGACATCCCTAGTTGGTCCGCTTTATAGTAAATGTCAGTGAATGAGCTATCGGGAAATCGTTTTAGAGCAGTGCGCTGTCAGTCGGGGAAATAGTTGTTGGAGAAATGCTTGTCTGGGAAAATCACAAAATACATGTGGCTAATATATATCTTATGAAATAATAATATTCTCAAAGATTCTTTATTTAATATAATCTATATAAAAAAAGCTAAATTTCAAAAACAGTGATCATAAAAAAATAATAAAAATTTAAAATATAAGGTAGATAAGGGTAATTTGACTAATTTGCGTATCTCAACTTCATGTGATCAAAATCATGCAATTTTTAACAGGAGGAATATATACAAAAAATTAGGTTACAATACCAGATCATTCTACTAGTATATATCATTATTATAATTCTGTATTATTTTTTATAATAAAATGGTGTGAAATTATAATAATCTGATATTGTAAAATAATTTTTTTATATTGTTAGAGGGGTTTTGGGTTTACAGAATACAGGGTCAAAGAAAATGCAATAGATTATTGCTCAAAAATATCAAATGTCATAAAATGTTGCACTATGAAAGAGGTAAAATGATTTGGCAAGACTAAGGTATGGGTATAAGGTCTCAGTTTATTACTAAGACAGTTTTTATTACTAATACAGTCATTACTAATGATGACTATTCTACTTGTTTTTTCCTCTTTTAACTTTTAAAAAAAAGATACATTTATATACAAGAATGGTGTCTTATAAAAAGAAACAACACAAGGGTCCAATATCAAATATTTTTCTACTGAACTCAATAGTTTCAGATCTGTCATTACGATCGAGATCTTAAATGATCTTTTATAACACAAACAACTAGTCCAATCTAGTAGATCTATCTTGATAAATTGTTATAGTACCTAATTCTGTATCATTATAGTATTGATTCAGTTGGGTGTCTTGGCTTTCAAGTTTCTCAAAATGCAATTGATACACAATAGTTGTTTTGTTTTAGTTGGGTGTCTTGGCTTTCAAGTTTCTCGAAATATAATTGATACACAATAGTTGTCTTGTTTTAGGAATGTTCTTACTATAAGGAGATATAGGTCAGAGCAGAACTGAATTAGAATAATTTGGTATTCATTTTGCCCTTAACAATTCTCCTTAATTCAATTTTTATGTTCTAGATAAAAAGAAAATTATCCAAAGGTGGTTGTAAAGCTTAATCCTTAATTCATTTATCAGGTAGCTGAGATCAGTCAGTAGAGTTCACAAGCATAATAATGTTCAAATTACTTCAACTAATGATAAATAATTTTTTTTTTGAAACAATTAACTAATCTATTACTAAATCTAAATCAGTATTAACAAAATATTTAATTATAAAACAGTTCATAAAACAATCATAGTCAAACATTAAAAGAAATCATAAACTTAAACACAAGACATATAGAATAACAAAAAAACAAAACAATACAAAAACAAAAAAAAAACCAAAAACATGTCTATATCTAAGATAAAAGGTACAACCCTTGTTATACACTTCTTAATCCTATATACAACTATCATAAGTAACTGTACACACTAGAGAAACTTTATTGGTATTTATGTAGGCACATATATTAATATATTTTTATTTTTATTTTAATTAAATTTGCATTTATTATCTTTCATTATACTATTTGAATAAGCTCATGTTAAAGGGCATAGCTAGTACCTTTCTATCAACAGTTCTCAATTTATATACATTGTTAAAAAGCTTTGCATATGTATAGAAGGGACCTTTATATTTGGAAATAAATTTATCACTCTTGAAATACTTTTTCACAGTTTCTTCTAATATTACTTTTTCTTTAATTTAATAGCTAGAGATTAGTTGGTAATATTGGTCATGATAGGTCTTTTATTTCACATGTTTTTCATAGATCTTTTGTAAAGCCAGACTTCTTGTAATTGGAACTTCATTTATAAGTTCTAAAACTATTGCAAAATGGTTCCTTCAAGTAATTCTTCACTATAGCTAAAATGATAGATTATTTGGCTTTATGGCTATAAATAAGATAAAAAAGTGACAATTCAGTAGTTATATTTTAGGGATATAGTAGATAAAGAGTATTAAGGATATTAATAGATTCCATTCTAATATTCTCAACCAATTTTCCAAAAGCTTTACACAAAGTTTTATTGAACCTTTCTACAAGATCATTTGTTTAAAGATGATATAAGGTGAAAAAATGCTGTTTTATAGTTAATTTTTCCAACAGAGTTCTTACTACCTTATTTCAAAAGTGTGTTCTATAGTTAGACAAAATTTGATCAGAATATCTATGATAACAAATTAGGTCATTATACAAGAAATCTGTAACAGTTTGAGTATTGGCTTTTTGTATTAATTAAGTTTTTGACTATTGAGTTATGAAGTCTATTGCTATTATAATGTATTGATTCAACCTAGAGTTTTGAGCAGAAAACCTACAAAGTTTATACCAATTTTAAAGAAAAGGACAGAGATGAATATTGGGTACAAAGGGTTTTGTTTATATAATTAGGTTCTTCTTTGGCAGAGATTGTAAGTTTGCATGTATTTCTTTATATCTTGGTACATTTAAGCCCAAAAGTATAGATTACAAATTTTCTTAAATATAATGTCTTTATTAAAATGTTCACCAAGCAAATGAGCATGTGTTAGAAACAAGATTGGGTCTACTTAATAACATTGAAGTACTTAAAGAAGTCTTTCTTTAACTCTATAGTCCTTTTTATACAAAAGGTCTTTCTCCAGTTCAAAATATTTACTCTTTTTCTTGAGCTGTTGTTGTTAGTCTTTATTGCATATAGAAGGTAAGTATTCATTTTCCAAATATCTCTTCAGGTGGGTATAGTGAATTAACTTTATAATTATTTATATTGAATTTATAAAAAAAAATTAAAAGTTATTTTTTTTTTTTAAGTTGTACTAGATACTTTTAAGCAATTTGAAATAGAGGTTAGATATAAACAATTTAGTTGTTATTAATGGGTTGTACATGCTAGAATACCAAAAACCTGGTTAGGATTGTTATAATCAGATTTCTCTTTTTTAAATTTTTTTTTTGTTTTTTTTTTTTATTCTCTCTTTTTTTTTTTTCTTCTTTTTTTTTATTTTTTTTTTCTTCTTTTATAGTCACATTTTCAACATTTAATTAGTAGGTTTTAGTAGTTTAGGAATTCAAGATAATGCATTAGCATTACTATGTTTATGATCATGATGATGAATTATTAAAAAATTGTAGAGTTGCATTTGTAATATCCATGGAGCATGACATTCAGTCAGTTGAAATGTTTAAAGTTATTTCAAAGCTGCATGATCAATAATAATAACAAAAGGATCTAAGCCAAGGTAGTGTTAGAAGTGTTTTATTACTTTCAGAACAGCTAAACATTCCAATTCAGTAATTTTGTAATTACACTCTGTTTTAGTAAGACTTTACTTACATATATGATAATATACTCATTTTCAAAATCTTTTTTTTGTGCCAAAACAGCACCAAAACTATAATCAGATGCATTAATATGAACTACAAAAGATTTGTCAAAGTATTGTTTCAGCTTTTGGAACACATCTTCTTGTTTCTTTTTCCACTTATACTTAACCTCTTTTTTCAGCAAATAATGTAGTGAGCAAGTAATGGCAATGAAATTTATAATAAACTTATAATAATAAGACATTAGTCCTATAAATCCTTAAAGTTGGCACAAATTTACAGAAATGAAAAAGGTCTTGATTCTATTAACTTTATTATCATCAGAACAGATACTATCACAACCTACTATGTGACCTAAAAACTGCAATTGAGGTCTAAAAAAAGAAACTTGTTTACATTTAGTTTAAGATCAACAATTTTTAATTTATTAAAAATAATGATCAGATGCTTCATATAAACTTTGAAAATAGGTAAGTAAATTATAATATTATCAAAATACACAACAACAAATTTTTTAATACATTTTGTTAGTAAATATTTATAAGGCATTGGAAAGTAATAGAGTATTATAAAGATTGAAAAGCATAACTTGAAACTCATAAGTGCTAAAACTTTTTGCAAATACTATTTTCTTATAATTCTTTTCATGTACTTTTATTTGCTAATAGTCTAATAACAGGTCTAAAATAGAGTACAAAGTTGCACAACCAAAAACCTCAAGTAAGTCATTGATTCAGGACAAGGTGAATGCATTCTTTTTTGTGACCAAATTGAGCTTTTGATTATTGATACATATTCTTAATTTACTATCTTTTTTAAAGACTACAATGTTAGAGGACATTCAGAGATTTTTTGATTCATTGACTAATTCTTTTTTCTTTAGATTTTTGACTTCTTTTCTGATAAACTCTTATACACTAGGGACAGCTTGATATAAAGCTTGCTTTATAGAGACAGCATTACTAGTATCAATTTTATATACAAACACATCTGTTTGATCCAAGTCACTTATATTATATACAAAAATGTCTTTTTTACTATCTAATTTTTCAAGAGCTCTTTGACATTGTTCCAGAAGCAAACTACAATACTTTTTTTTTCAAGTTTACTTCATGATGTTTTTTTTCTTCACATTTAGTTTTAGGTTCATTTGATAGCAACTCTTTTGCATGTAACAAGTAGGTAGCAGGACTATAACAGTTTTCTCAGAGGTTCTAAACAACTTAATTTCAGAGGTTTTATAGAAAACTATTCTTCTACTTCTTCTAATAATTCATCTTCAAATTCAAATTTATCAAAGGTACCTTTATTCTCATCATTCTTAAGTTCTATCAGGAGGTTTTTTTTATTATATAAAATAAGAATTTCAGTGACTTTATAGTCATATTGCATATACAAACTATTTTCATTTATATAAAGTCAAGCACATGTTTGTTTGAACCAGTCCATTTCTAAAAAAAAGAGTTTTATTAGTTGATTTAATAACTTGGAAGGTAGTTGGAACCAAATTCTATCTATAACTAACTTAATATTAACTATTTTTTCTAGAACTCTTGCTCTCACTCCACTTGCAATTACAAACATGGTGGTAGAAGGCTTAGTAATCTTAAGGTCAAGCTTTTTTACTATTTTATTGAACATTATACTTACTGCAACACTAGAATTAAGTATAGCAAGTATAAGGTTGTTTCTTATTTTTATATAACATCTGGCAGCAGTAGTTTTTCTAATTTAAGAGTCTTGAGCAGCATTGGTTTTCATTTAATCAGGATACAACACTGGTGATACTAATAGTAATAAGGGTTATTTTAGCACTTTTGTTAGTTTTTAATGTTGGTCAGAGTACTGTAACATCTATTCAAGGGTCATATTGGCTCTTGAGTTTATTATATCATCAGAAACATTATAAGAAACCAATTTGTCAATTATAAAGGGCTTTCTTTTTTGTTTAGGTCTAGAAGGTAAAACTTCTTCAGGAAGTGATTGCAAGTTTTTATTTACTTGTGCAGGGACCAACACAGGTATTTTTACTACTAATAGGTTATTCTCAATCTTTTTTCTACTTGACTTTCTGATTTTTTGGATAGATCTTTGGTTTTTGTGTTGTGTATAGATGATGTCATACTACATGAGTTATGTATGCCTCTAGCTCATTCTCAGATTCATATTTGTCTTTATCAAAACCACAATAATTGACATTTTCATATTAATGGAGAGCTTGTACATGTGAGTAAGGTTGTGCTTAGTTTTAATCTTCTATATTTTTTAGTCTATAAAAATTCAAATTTTGAAGTGGGAGCACTCAATTGTTTGGAAGGTTATTTGGATTTTTGGGATTTGATTCAGGTTTTGGTTTTTTTTTCTATTTATTTCAAACACACAATTGCATTAAATATGTTCAGATTCTTTACATGCATACAAGTTAGCTGAGATGGGTCATGATTCTGATAGTTTGGTCAGAATCAAAATACTGAAGCTTTATTTTGTGCTGCAAGAGCAAAGGTTAATTTATCTGTCATTGTTTGCATTTGATAGGTTAATTTATCAAGATCAGTTTCTAACTTATTAATATTATAATTACTATTGTTATTATTAATCTTATATCTTTCTTCAACTTTCTTATTATAGTATTCATCTGTTTGATCTTTTGAGCTCCTACTATAGTATTATCTAATGTTGTTGTTTTAGTAATACTCAGCCAAGAGGCTATTTTTGGTCTTAATTCTTCTAAATACATTTGTATAATGTATAATTAGAACAAGCATCCTTCAAAGTTAACTTTATATAAAAGTTTCTTAATCTTATATAAATATGGATCTATTTCTTCATTTTTTTTTTGAACTAAAAAGTTAAAATTCATTTGCTATTTATATTATTATTTGGTGGTAGCAAAGTATTGGGTGAAGTTATACATGAAACTGTCTTTAAAATCCTTTTTATTATTCCAATAGTCAAAAGTCTACTTAAAATTATTATACTAAATAAGCAGAAAGTCCATATAAATAATCAGAAGCTATTTTTACTTTTTTTTTCAGAGGCTCAATTATTAGCATCTACTGCACAGTCAAACAACTCAACCCATTTATAAGGGTCTTCTTTCTCTTCTTTACAAAATGGTTCTATATATACTAAATTAGTTTCTCATACAGGTGGTCTTGTAATAACAACAATTCCAACATTGGCTTTTTAAAGACATTGGCTATTTTCTTCAGCACTTCATAGAAGGGTGGTTGTAATTGAGGTACAGTTGGGTTTTCATTATCTTTAGCATTACTTTGAGCATTACTTTTATCATTAAAAAAGGATACTGTTCTATAGAAGTTCTTCTGCTATTATTAGGAGTAAAACAATAGTTTGTAAAGTCTGATTTATATAGAGAATAGTTGGTTATTTATTTATTATCAGCAAAAAGGTTGTCCAAGTCTCCAATTTCTTGATGGTTTATATTTATTTTTATATTTTTTTTTCTTATTATTTCAAGGTTCCTTTAATTAATTACTTTAAGTAATTGCAGGTTCTATGCAGAAGGTCTGGGTCCAAGTATTGTAAAGAGAAGTATTACATTCATCTTTATCTCTGGTTTTTTTTTTTATATTTATAACTTTTGTTTTTTTTTTTTAATCATCTGGTTTGGTGTTTGGGTTTATTTTTAATAATAACTGTAGTAGTAAATGTGGTTGTGGGTTCAACATACAACATTCATAATATAGATAAGAAATACTAATCTTAGTTCTCAAGATCTATTATACTAAAAACTTAAACTTAAATAAACTTAATCAATAAACTCAAATTCAATACAATAAACAAATAAATTCTAAATCAAACAAAAATTAAATAAAAATTAAAAAAAAGGTATGATACAAAGATTAGGTAATGTAGTTTTAAAGTGTTGTAATGTTAGTTAGAAATTCTTTAATTAGGTGAAAGAGAATAAATTTCAAATCTTACAGTCATCACCAAAATTGTTAGAAGAGCTTTAGGCTAACATAATACAAGGTCAAGAAAAATGCAACAGATTGTTGTTCAAAAATACCAAATGTCATAAAATGTTGCATCACAAAAGAGGTAGAATAATTTGGCAAGACTAAGACATAAGTGCAAAATCTTGGTTTATTACTAAGATGGTTTTTATTACTAATATAGCTATTACTAATGATGATTATTCTATTTGCTTTCTTTTCTTTTAACTTTAAAAAAAAATACACTTATATACAAGAATAGCATCATATAAAAAAAGATGTTACAGGGGTACAAGATTAAACATTTTCTTACCAAACTTAACAGTTTCAGATTTGGTATTATGATTAGAACCTTGAATGACCTTCTACAACACAAACAACTAGTCCAATCTGATAGTTCGATTTCAACAAACAGTTATAGCACCTAATTCTGCATTATTACAAAATTGTTTCAATTAGGCAGCTTAGCTTCCAAGTTTCTTAAAATGCAATTGATGCATAATAGTTGGCTTGTTTAAAAAACATTTTTGCTGTAAGGAAGCATGTGTTAGGATAGCACTAGGTTAGAACAACTCTGGTATCTGTTTTGCCCTTAACAATATATTGTGATGGGTTATATGAATGAATTCAGAGATGGGGCGAATGTAACTAATTGTCATTGAAAAACAGTTATGCCACATAATGTTCCTCAAAGATAATAAAGGTGGTTTTACAATTTGGCACAAGGTTAAAGCAATCAAAAAGAAGCATTATAAGATAAGTACTATGATTTTAAAGAGTGTTATTGTATTGGCAGTTCAAAGGGGTCTTTAATAACTTTATTAAATTTTATAGGAGCAGTACAAATATATTATTAAGGGTAATTATGAACTATTCTGAATGATAATCTTGTACTTCAATACCGATACTCCTTTGGAAGGGAGAAATTCCACCCTTTTTATAAATTAAACGAGAGAAGAGCCTACGCAAGACCATGACTCTTCTCATTATTACTAACACTTCTCAATCTTATTTGTTATAACCTTTAACCCCTTCCACACAGCCTTTCATTACTTTAACATTTCTCACAGCTTTGATTGAGAAATGTTTTAGTTACATAATCCTGAAATCAGAACTCATCATATTGTCTTCAATCACACCGCCTTGACATCACTTCACATCTAATCCAAGTAAGTCAGGTGAAGTCAACATCCATTCCCAGTGCAACAGGTTGGTTCAAGTTGACCTTACTGTAATTGGGGGGGTGGTTAGGTCCTGCATAGAGGCTTGTATACTTTTATATGACATCTTTTTGGGGTCAAGTACACATGTTTCAGATGAATCATCATAAGCAACTCTAATTAGGTAAGTATGCCACAATGATGTCCATTTTGCAGATTCTATGAGGTGTCAGTTTTACCTCTGACAATATTACATACCAGGTGAAGAATTAGTCATATAACAGTAACAGTTTCTTCTGTAGCAATTTTTATACTATTCAATTTAAGAAATTGCATAATATAAAATTGCTAGAATTGAATTACAAAGTTACAAGATATTGTGGTTTTTATAAAATAGATTTTAAAAATATTTAATATTAAAAAATTAATATAAAGAATTAGAAATATCTTATAATTTTATAATTCAATTATAATGACTTTTTACTACTTAATTCTTTTAGTAAGAAAAATCAAATAAGATAAAAATTGTTTGATTCAGATTGCAGTATTATGAGTTATTTTATTTTTATTATATAATTATAGAATTATATATGTAATAAAATATTTTTAAAAATTTTTTTAAATCAGATTATTTTTATACAATTCAATTCTTCTTACTGAGAAGAATCAAATAGCATAAAAATATTTTGATTTGTATTATAGAATTACAAGATATTTTTTATTTATCAAATTATTCTTATAATTAATTTTTTTAAAAAATATATATTATATAAATTAAAATATTATATAATCTTGTAATTCAAATTACATAATTTTTATATAGTTAGATTTTACTTATTAAAAGAATTAAATAATAATAAAAATCAGATAATTTTATTGTATAATTACAAGTTATATATCATTAAATTAGCTTTATTAAATTACCTCTTTTTATCTTATCTCTTAATCTATAGAGCAGGCAAATTTGTCTGCTAACTTATTTAATATTTTTTACAATTAGATAAAAATTTTAAATATTAATTTTAATAATATATTTATTAATTAAAAAATAATTTTAAATATTTGTTTTATTAACTTTATTAAGAAACTTTTTTAAATTTATTAGAAGTCTTTAAAGTAATAAGACTTTAAAGTTTTATTTTAAAAATTTTTACTATAAATTTTTGTTCTATAATTTTTTATTTTATTTTTTTTTTATTTATATAATGTTCAAGTAGAAACTTTTTATATATAGAATCATAAGTTCTAAAATTAAAGATTTCTAAACTACATTTGTGCTACAAATTGGCACCCAATGTGACATTACACCTCCTATTTCCTGTGAGTGCTATTGCTAACTATTTCAAATTAGGTTTTAGCTAGGATAGGTTGGAGAAGACCTTCAAGTGATTGTCTGAACATTATTAAATACAAGTGGTTAGTGAATAACCTTGTGTGAGCCATTTGATGATAAAAGGGTTAGTAT